TATTGTGCCAGAGGTAACATGAGAGCAGGATAGGAAGAGGCACTTCTGCTCAGACATTCTGTACATTTACAAATGGGCACCCTTTCTTTAGGCATCAGATCCCAAGCAAAGAATTTTCTATGATTATATCTTCTCAAAGCATAAAGTTATGGTCTATTAAAAGTCTGTACACCCTACTTGGAAAATGATCTGTCAGCATTTTCAGATTTTGGCTCTGCTTTTGAACAATCTCTGTCCATTATTGTTGATAAAGGCTTCTTTCTTCCTACTATTTTCCCTTATCACAAAGAAGTTCCCTGAATTCTGGGACTTTCCTGCACATGTGCATGCTTAAAATAAGCTTTCTGTGGGCTTTTTTTAGATTTCAATTTTTTTCTTGATGGAGATAATAACATTAATTCTTCATGAGAGAAAAATATATCCAGTGCCCTGGGAAAAGTGTTCTGGACCTGGTAGCAATGTCTCAAATGTGCTTGAATGAGATCTAACAAGAGTGAGCATGTGTCTTAGCCAGGCTCTTGAGACTGCAGGATGGGAGAAATATGCTTGAAGGAATCACACTGAAGTGGTTCGCTGGTAGTACATAGATAGAATCGCTGGTAGGGATATTTAATAACATGGGTATGGTTTTTGTTTCCAGGACTTAGAGTTCATAAAGAACAGGTGAAGAGAGATTAAATGCTTCTACGACATCATTTTTCTATGTCAGAATTTGCTGTCAGTGCCACAAGTCATCTTTGCAGGGGGAAAAGTGAGCTACATAGCTACAAGCAGAAAGGGAGCTGTGCCTATGCCCTATAATCTGAGAATCTTGTTTCCCATGACACTAGATCCCAGTAACAGTATTTCTTTGTTATAGAAATGCACTTCAGATATTGAATCAAAGCCATACAAAACAATTTTAAGAATCCTACATCTGAAAGCAGAGGAATATCACACAAAGAGTAACAGATGTTGAAAATATTTGCCCTCTGGCTCCCAGTTTTGGTTTCTATTCCTAAATGGTCCTTTTCTGAAGCCTAAGAAAACTATTAAGCTGGACTCACACCTGCACAGGCCAGACTCAGCTCACATGCACTCTGAAACATCTGCAGACTCTGATATAAAGCAACCAGAAACCCCATGTTTTATGAGCCATTTTGGGCTTTAGAGAACCTCTACTAAAGCACAGCTTTCGTATTATGGAAAGAAATTGAAGGGTTGCCAATTGGAGATGACCACCAAAGGGGACAGCAGGATCAAGATGAAAAGAAATCTTTTAATAATGTACTTAAGAGGGAATAGATCCAATAAAATGACCTTTGGAAAGTCTCTTATTCTCCTGTAATTTCTTTGTCAGTTGCTTTAGCCAAGTCCACAGGATGCTCCAGGGTGAAGTAGCTGACCTTCAAAGCTTGTGAGTCCTTGTACTTTCCTCTTCTGCTTTTATCATCTTCTGGAAGAATTCAAACATATATCTAGTCACCCACTGAAGAATGGACTCTGGTTTATCTAATAAATGATAGAAATTGCTGGTCTGTTCTATCTGGAAATGGAAAGGACCTAAGATAAAAGCCTCTCTTTATTAAGGAGCCAAAGATATTTTAGATCTCATTTGGCCTTCATGCCCTACTCATTCCTGTTTGTTTTATCTAGTGGTGCTTTGCTGATACAGTTATTATCCTTCTCAGCTACTCTAAACATATAATATTAATTCTGCGCTCTCTTTCTACCTCCAGCCTTTTTAATAGTTAGCTTTTTAAAGCCCTGTAAGGCTAATTACCCCATGATCACTCTATGTGTTTCTCACGTGAGCGGGCATTCTCTGGTTCCCTCTAAATCCACTTGCTCCATTAATTCCCTTGCCTTCTTTTTTCTTCTTGTTGCTCTTTAGAATTTGGATCCTTTTTCCAACATCAGGAAAACCTTTTTGTCCTCATCTTCTGAGTATTTTTTTTTTCCTATTCTTCAGGAAGCAAAATAATACCAGAAAGAGGTGAATGAGAGACATGGAATTGAATTGCACCTGTGATGTTCAAGACCTAGGTTGAAATATTTCAGTGAATGTCCATTTTGACATTACAGGTTGTTCTTGACATCATATAAAATGGTTGTCCTAGATTATTTTAATGATCATAATCACTGGTTCTAAAACCTGTGGGTTCTTCAAAGATTCAGCACTTCAAACAATTACTCCTCTCTTTCTCTCTTCATTAGTAATCCCCTCACATGCTCTTGGTTACAGTGTTGTTTCATCTCATGTTTGTTTGTCCTAACTAATTTAGATATTAAGTCCTTGGTGACTGACAATGTGTCTATCTATGCAAAGCACACTTAAATAAATAAATTTAATAATAATTAATAATAAATATGCCAGCTGAAAGCTGTGCATCTGAGCTAGCAAGGACGACACTGACATTGATGAATTTGGTTTCAGGAACAATGCTTGCTGTTCCCCTGCCTTGGATCTATGGGAAGATCTGTTAATGGATGTTGTGCTCTGATGGCTGCCAGATCCCCCTCTTACAGTCTTTCCCACCAGAGAGTCATTTTGCCTTGCCCCTCATCTCTGGACAATTTGAAATCCAGCCTTTGGAGCTAACATTCTCCTAAAAGTGATTGAAAAACAAGAGGAAAGCATAGATTCTGTTTTGGGGGAGATGATCCTTGCAATTTCCTCAAAATCAGTGTTCACAACTAGTTCCAGTATTTCACTTATAGACAGTAAAATTTTTGCATCTTTGTACTCTACGTGGAAAATTGTTTTTTTCTCTTTCTCTCTCTTTCCCCCCTTCCCTAGTTTCTTATGTGAGAAAGGTTTGCAAAGCAGGTTAGCACTTTTGTGAAACAGGCTTTGTAAACAATCAGACAGAATCATTAAAACTGGCAGGAATGAATCTTGGTGTGTGCTAACAGTTGTCTAAGCTTGAACACGATTTAATCTGTTATTCCTGGTGGGCACTACATTGTAGGAAAATAATATTATTAGAGATATAATCTTTCAGTTAGTAATAAACCTCAGGAGTGGTCTGGTGGAGAAGGGGGACAAGTGAGTCTTTCCTAAGCAGAAGTAAACTGGGATAAATCTGTCCTTCATGTGCCTGCCTGAGAAATTGTGACTTCTGATAGAAGTAAGTTATTCACAGTATATATTGTCATTTTATTTCATTATGAATAGAAGAGATTATTTGCATATACATTCTCTGGTCCATTCCAGAGCTCTAACTGTAATAAAAGTCAGGAAAAGAATAGCTGAATAATAAGTAGCAAAGGAAGAAGAATTACTGTAATTTCTATGATTATTAATCTATCCTAAGATGACAACTTTTGTCAGAGATGGCAACATCTAGAACGTGTTCACTGTGGTAGTAGTTTTACTGTCATCAAAATCCTGAAGTATTTACTGCCACAAGTAACATTTGTTCTCCCAGTTCACCCCTGGGGAAAATGGGTGAATGTTCATGAGCTTTGTTGTTTGTACAATCTTTATTTTTTTAGGTAAGTATAAAATACACTTTGGAGGAAGTGGTGGGGTTCTTGGAATTCAGGAGCTGCAAATTAGACCACAAAGCAGTCCTTTTTCAGGCAAATAACTTTTCTTCTTACACCATAAGGCTTCATTGTGACAGAACTTTGTGAGGTCCCGGGAGTACTTTGAATATAAACACTGCAATCTTGAGTTTAATTCAATATTTTGTGGAGTCAGTGGAGAAAGTAATATAATTTGTTCACTGTAATCAGCTAGTAGGTATCTCTGAAGGTCTGATTACTTCATGTTCAAATAAAATGCGCTGGTACAATCCAGATGGGAGTTGATGATGGCATATATAACTAAACTGGACTTGCTTAGGATGGAGTTTTTTAACCAATTAGAAGATAAAAAAGGCATTATCGATGGATATGGCTCCTTGGGATCTTGGTGTGAGTGAGAAATCCAAACCTAAACTAAATTCTGTGGGCGTGCAGTATCAAAGAAAGTTTATTGCATAGTAACTACAGTTTTTTGAAGTCTGCTGCAGAGCCTCCAGCATAATCTGTGTTTCACAGGTTTCAGGTTGTCTAGTCACTTTTCAAATACATGATACTTTTCGCCTGTGGGAGTGAGAAGCCAGTATGTTTGCCTTCCCCCATTCCCCAGCATTTTCCTTAACAATTGCAGAGGCATGGGCACTTGTGGCATCTTTTCCACTTTATGATGGTGTATGACCCATTAGCAGTTTGGGGCTGCTGTCAGTGGGCTCAGCCACCATGGAGGTTAAGCCGTGATTTGGGCAAGAGTGGTGGATAGTGAAGGTCGCTGCTGGATTACTGCCTGTATTGTCTGGTCCAACCATTTCATGGCTGTGTAGATGCTAACAAAATCTTGACAGAGAGCTATTTCCTGAAGAGCCCTGTCTTTTAAGAAATCACTTAAAAGGTTTAATAATTTTTCTCACTGGTATTTGTTAGGTGCTTCTAACCCTGAATAAGCAACGTTTTAGCCTGTTCTTCATGACTATTTCTTCCAGGCAGGACAGCAATACCTGTCAGAGCTTCTAACAGGTTAAATTTGCAGTTTATCCCAGGTTCTCATATTCACTATATTGAAGATACCATGAGATTTATGTGAAGCAGAGAAATGCTACATAATGGTCTTCTAATTTTTTGTTCCTTTTGACAGCTAAATACCAAGTCATTGTAAGACTCATCTACCCAAGCACAGCTGTCTGTAACTGAGCTAATTGTCTTTCTTCATTAATTAATGAAGAAAACTAGGCACTTCTGGGATGCAATTTGTTCCATACCAAAGGAGATACCTCAAAAATATAAGTCTTATGACTTGCTGTTTTTCAAAAATTGTGACCTAATTAGATCACTATAATTATTTCAGGCTATGGGGCAGACTGTTAAGGCTTAGGGGACAACAGATAACAATTTATAACTTTACTTGTTAAGAGGAATACTGGTAATCAATATTTCCATGTTTTCAAATGCTTTACAGGAATTGTATTTCTCATAGTTTCTGTTCTTTTATTCTCTAGAAAAAAGCAGCAACAGGATTCCTTTCTTTCCAATTCAAATGTGACTTCCATCCATATTTTGCACAGGCAGTTCTGCCCAGGGATCCCTCAGAATGAATGAGCTGAAACTGAAAGGTATGTGTGACTCAGACAAATGCATTGGGCTCAAGACAGGACTAACTGGATGCTATTTTATGAGTAATACAGGAGGTCAGAATAAATGATTCGGTAGTCCCTTCTAGCCTTAAAATCTATTTAAAAACCTGAACAAGTTCAATAAAAATGCAATAGTGTTTTACAGAAATTACTTTAAAACCCCCAAGAATTTATAGTCATTAATAGCCTTTTTATGATATTTTCACTATATATTCCTAGTGCAACAAATCCTATAGAGAGGGTTTTTTTCTTTTTAAATTGATGATGTGATGGGAAAAAAAAGTCCTCATTTGAACAACCAGCCCTGGCATAGCAAAAAAGCTTGTTTCCTAGTGTGGATGCCTCATATGCATTTGCAAGTAGGAAGAACAGTAATTTAGAAATGAGAGGGGGATCTCATTTTATTGTGAATTTTCAAAGCATCACTCTGTGTATCATTTAGACAACCTTTGGCTCTGACTGCTGAGTACAAATGCATCAGCCAGTGTGTGTGGGCAGTGTGAGTCGTTCAATTTTCCTACTATGTAATAATAAAAAAACAAACGGTGGTGAAGCCAGCATTTAGGTCTAGAGAAAGAAGCTGTGATAATGCCATGAATCCTTGCACTCAGGGATCAACAGTGATGGCATACAAAGCAGGCATAATGACAGGCAGATTTTTGCTTAACGGGTGTTGATCTGAGCCACAGGCACATTTATCCAATCTTATTTTTATCTTGCAGCTCCTGTACCCTGACTAATACCTTTAAGAAAAAGAGTGGTGCTTTAAAACATGGTAACTCAAGCCTATAGGAATTAAACACATTTAAAAACAAGTTAATTCTTTTGGGTTAATATCACAGATTTCTAGCCTTTCTTCCTTCCTCTTATTCCCCTCAGCTACACCTGTTTTATGTTTTAATGTAATATATTGTACTGTAGAGGCTGTAGTTTCAATTCATGCTAGTGAAAAAGAATAGAAATCCAGAGCTGCTGCAATGCTGTGTGCCTTCTGGGGATCCCTGTAGCCAAATGTGTCTGGAGAACTTCCCTGCATAGAATATAGCTTCTTCATTATTACTAGTAAGAGACATGAATAAACATCCCATAATATAAATACCTACTCTGCACACACAAACAAGTTTTTCATGACAAAAACAATGTTTTTTTATTGCTTTTATTAGCACTACTGCACAAAGACAGGATTAAGAATTGCTCTTACAAATTTTATTTGTGGTGAGACATGGATATTTAAAGAAGATCAAGTGTGGAAAGAGAAGATGATTTCAATAATTTTTAATAATCAGACCATCACATTCAGGTTTACAGGCTGGTTGTAGAGAATATGATGGTCCAAATTAAGAGAATTAGGAATGAGAACTGTCAGAAACAGAATATTAAATAGGGAAAGAGTCAAGCCTCTAATCCCATTATTGTATTCACAGATAAAAGATAGTCAATTCAGTGGTACATAAACATGGACATGTTGACTCAGAGAAACTTGGCAAGGCCAGTCACATGAGTAGAATAATAATTCTGATGCCATAAACCCTGCATGGCGAATTGGCTCAAGGAAGATTTTCTGAACTGCATAAGACTCAGAAAAAATTTTCTGTCCAAAGTGATTAAAGGGTAAAGCATTATTTTTAGGTCTATATTCCATAGTTGAACTACGGAAGTTCTAAATATGCTAGCAAAATTTTTTGGAATATGCCAATGATGATGGTTAGTGATGTGAAGAGAAATGTGATAGCGCTGATAATGATTCTGTTGCATAATCTTTTCCTCTGTGTAAAAGGGCCCAGGACTTGAATCAGAAATGTGGGTATGCCATAGCAACGCCCACAGTACCTTCGAGCTCTGCTGGGCTTGGAATTCTATCAATATTCCTGTGAGATTTTGATCCAAAATGGGGCACAAATTATGTGAGGGCTGAAGACTGTTTATTGTTGCTGGAGTAGTAAGATACAAATTAATAAAGAAAGCAGCAGCAACAAAATGCTGCCGGTCACAATTTGTGGTATAAAATTAAAGTAGACAGCCTGGAGGAGCTAGTGACAATAAGTAAATAACATTTACAAATATGCTGGAGGGAAAAAAAAAAAGCAAAAGCAAGAGAAGGAGTCAGTCTCTTGATAGATGACAAGGGTAATAAAAAGCAGAGGGATGAGGCTTTGCACAATTCTCTTATCTTTCTGTCCTTGTTCTCACTCATGCATCCTAAACTGGAAACGTGATCCTCTCATGTTTAATGAGAAGGGACATTTAGTATAAAGAAAATAAGAAGAGCAGACATATTCCAGTGCCTTCATTGCTGCTTGTGTGAGCTTATCACCATATGGGAATCTGCAGCCCTGCAGCAAGGCTGAGCCCAAATGCCTGGCAAGGCTCACAACTCTGCAAGAAAACCCTGCCTTTTCTGCTGGGTCTTCACATCTGGCCCCACCATCTTCCCACAGCCCCTGCATCCTGGTGTTAGTGAACACATCACAGCCCTGTGTGGGTACTCCATGCTGGACAGGTCAGAAGGCAGCAGCTCAAGCTTATTTCTGCCTGTGCTCAAGTTCTTCACCAAGGACTTCATCTGCCTTTCTCCTACCACATGCCCCTGCACTACCAGTTGCCTAAAACTCTTCCACATTTGCTAGAGATGTGCACCACATGAAAAAGATATGATACACTTGAGTGATTTTTTTTCAACTTTACAGATTCCCTCTGAGCGTAGGAAAGACTTTCAGGGGAGCACACTACCAAAACAGTGCTCCAGTCTTTGTGTTTTCCAGCTGAGGTCTCTCAGGGTGCCATCAGCCATCTACTCCAGAAAGCTCTTTCAGGAATCCCATCACAATATTGCCACAAATCCTCCTTGACCAGTCTGTCTGTCTTTGCCTCTTACTTTCCCAGCAGCTCTCAGTTACTGCTTTTCCAAGACTCACATATTTCTCAGTGACATTCCTCTCTCCTCCCTCCCCCTTTCCTCCTAAACATCCTTTCTCCCCCTGATTTTCCCAGCAGCAGCCTCTGTCTTCATGTCAGCTTGGTGCCTCTGCCTGAATTCCGTTGTTAAAAGAAGTTACTGGCATAACATACAATTACATGGCTATGGATTATGGAGCTCTATTTAGTATTCAAATCCTTGCTTTTCTCAAGTGGCAGAATATAATAAACTCAAAGTTTTGCCTTCAGTGGAAATTTAACAGTGGAGGCAGGCCCATTTTAAGTTTCCACTGTGTGTAGAAAGGAAGCTGGAAAGATTTATGGAAGGAAGGTAACAAGAGCTTGACAAATAGGGGAATTATCCTGTGCTCCTCAGACTGCCTTTCCTTTGAGCTGGAGCAGCACTGGCCTCCAGGGTGGTTCAAAAGGGGTCTGTCTGCAGACCCACAGTGCTGCAGGAGTGTGACAAATGCAGCCAGAAATGTGCTGGCAGCTGGAACCTCCCTGGGTCTGTAAACTGCTTCTAGACAGAGAAGAGTGGGATTGAAGGGCAAAGGAAATAATGTGGGGGAAACCTCGGGTGAAGACGGTGCCCAGGCTGAATGGACACTGAATGCTAGGAACTGATGAAACCCAGGGAGGCTGTGCCATCTCCAGGAAAGGGGCCAGTCGGTGTCTAGGCTTGTTGGGCTGACCCAGGTGCAGCTTGGTACCCTGAGGTGCCTGCAGGGAGCAGATTTGGTGTCCTGCTGCCTTCAGGGACAGCTCCCCAGGAGCCTTGGGAAGGGAAGGTGTGCGGAGCTGCCCGCAGCTCAGCCAGCCTCAGCAAACACACCTTGTGCCCCTCACCAGCCGGCATCAGCCCAGCAGGGCCACGCTGCTCTTGCTAATGCAGCAAACTTATTCAGTACAGGCTAGCAGTGCTGTGGCCTGGGGTAGCCTAGGAGCCTGCTCCGGCAGAAACTCAGGAGAGCAGCAGGTGACCCTGGCAGCTGGCTGTTCATGCCTCTGTGGGCTGGTGCTCCACAGCCTCCATCACCTTCACTCAGTGCAAAGCTTGGAATAATCAGCAAGTGTAACATATCAAGGTAGATAACTAATGCAAAGTGCTTTTCTAATAGCCCTGATACAATTATGAGCTATTGCTCATTCTTCATTCAAATACACTAAATTTTCTCGCACTAACACGCAATAATTACAACAGTGTATTGAAAGCTCTAGTTTGGCCCTGCATTCATGTTCCTCAGTCATGTCTTCAGAATGTATATCATATATGCATTGCTTCTGTCTAGAGAAAAGAATAAATGTAGAGAAAAAATTATAGTCAAATGCAGTGAAGAATTTCATTTTATGAAATTCCCACAGAAATGCTGCTGAGCTACACTGAGAGCACACACTTTACATGAAAACCATTCCAGAAGAAAAGCATGTCATTTACATTATGCTACGTGATAAAGCTAATACCTCTCAGAATCATAAACTTTTGATCTCATGATTTCTGTGTATATAATATTTTCAGATTTTTTGCTGTGATAGAAATCTTTTCCATTAATTTACCATCTAGTTGCAAAAACAAAGTACTGCTTTTGTTTTATTAGTTTACCTTTTATTTACTGCATTCCTGCTTTACCAGAGGTGTGTTCAATTATTAACAGGTTATGTTCATGTTCACAGAAATGCTAAATTGAATCCAGTACAATGTGGAATTATTAAAAGACTGGCTAACAGATTTGCTTTGCCCACAAAACTGTGCACTGTGGTTTCAAATATTCTTTTCCTAATTAAAGCTATTTATTTATTTTGATTTCTAGCAGTCATGGTGAATTCTTGACAGTGGTATTTTTTTCCACAGAAATGCTCTGTATTTTTGCAGGAGTAAAACTGCATGTTTAATTGGTTATTTTAACACCTTTAGTGCAATATCTCCGTGCTTTAATGGGCCTATAATTTTTAAATGTAGGTCCATTATTTTCTATGGCATGAACATTGGCAGATTTCTCAAGTGTCTTGCTTCTCATTGCTGTCTCTGATTTCACATTAAAATCCCTCTTTGTCCCCCTTTAGTCCCTGCTGATGACCCTTATTAAACAGGCGGATTTCTAGAGCTGAAAAACTTACCAGGTTAGAAAGGAGCATGTTACAAAAATGTGTTTTTGTTAGAGTTTAAAGTAACTATCAGGATAAAAAAAGAAAACCTGTCATTGTGCACTGGGGTGCACATATTTAAATATGACAAAAGTTTAGATTATTTTTCTTCTTAGTATTTTTTCTGCATGATGGATGAAGTGGAATCAATAAGTTTTGCTCCATTAAAAGACAGAAATCAGCAGTATCCTTCTTTCCTAGCAATTACCTGAGCCTCCGTGTCAGCAGGTCAGGTCTCCATGATTATTGTCACCATGACAATCAGGTCATCTACCTACATTCCAGATGTGTTTGGGGGGAAACCAGTGGAACTCTTGCCCTCTTTCTGTCCTATCTGATAGAAAGGGATGTGAAGGATTGTGGGAGAAATGGCTTTAAGAATGTCTTGTGTTGGCTGCATGAGGCCAGATTTTTAATTTGTGTCAGCGGATGTCACGCCACGAGTTGGCAAGGGGAACTCTGTATGTTGATGCTGGTTGGGATCTGGCTCTTTGAGCTGTGACTCATAAATAGCAGAGTTTCATCAGAACAACTAATGTGTTAGCAAAATTGGGCCAATTTGGGTTAAAAAATATAAAAATCAAGTGTTATGTCCTAAAATGTGTGTGGCTGAAAAAAGGGTAATGGTATGCTTAGACACTGAATGGGGAACTCACTGGGAAGTGTTAAGGACAGGGCAAACACAAGGTTTAGGTGTGAAAGGAAGAAATCTCAAGTAT